AAAAAAAAAAAATGTGCAGTGGCGTTCACAGTTTCATGGTAAGGAAAATACTTCACGAATGTGGAGTGTTATTATGTGGCACTGTTGGAGAGAAAGGAGCAACTTTTAGGTAGACCATGTGCTCCACTGGTATTCTTGCAGTTACCAAAAGAAATAGAGGAAGACTCCCCCCCCCGCCCAGAACTTTAGGTGGTGAATGTCCTGTGGCACCCTAATGGCTAGACGTGGACAAAAATCCATTCATAAAAATGCATTAAGCACCCGCTGTTTGCCAAGCACTGTGCTCAGTGCTGAGTATACAGTTAAAAACAAAGACAGTCCCTGCCCTCAAGGAGCTTACTATCTAATCTAAAGTCAAACAATATTGTTTGAACAAAACTCTTTCCCCGTTTCTTTTCTTACCATGCCTGGTAAGATGCTTATTGACTTGACAAAGATGAGCAGGCTTGGATAGGTTTCATTTTGCATCATTGGTGAAAATATCCCATATCTATAAAATCACAGATCCATTGGTATCCTGACCCCCATCCTAAACCCATGGGCTTCATGCTAGTTTTCCAATAGGGGGAATGGGTGCCAAACCGTCTACACTCTTACCCAAACCCCCTTCTGACTGATGGTATGCATCCAGGAAGCAGATTGCAGAAGTCAAGAATGGAGTCTATGCAGAAGGGGCTTTGTCTTCAGGGTTCATTGGCTCCCTGGGCCTCGTTATTATTGTTCTCTAACCATCAGAGTGAACTGGTCTTGCCAGTGTTCAGACAGGTGTTACACGGCCGCGGGGACCAAGTGCTCTGCATTAGCTCTCTAGATAATTCTTTCCCTGTTCACTTTTCTGAGCTTTCTGCCTATCCATCATCTCTCCAAAAAAATCCGCCTACACTTTTTGACTTCTGACCAAATTCTGGAGATTATGGAAAAACCTTTGGTTAAACGTCATGTTGTCCATTTAAACCAACTTTGAATGATGATGATGACAATAGCGATGGTGATAATAATAGCTGGCATTTGTGTGGTGCTTTAAGGTTTGCAGACAGCTTTATAGATACGTCATTTGATCCTCACAACAACTTTTGGAGGTGGGTACTATTATTATCCCCATTTTACAGATGAGAGAACTGAGGCAGAAAGAAGTGTCTGAGGCTAGATTTGAATTCAGGTCTTCTTGATTCTAGGTTGATTGCTCTATTGCACTTCCTAGTGGCTTCATATATGAAAAGCACTTTGTCAATGTTCAAAAACTACATAAATGTTCACTTATTGTGTTATTAGCTTTAAGGGAAGAGATATCAGAGAGTGTGTGTGTGTGGGTGTGGGTGTGTGTGTGTGAGAAGAGATAAAGAGTGCAAACTTCTCATTTCACCACCTATGGGGTAAACGGAAACAGCCCTTAGCAAAGCCAGTAGGTATCTAGGATCTTAAATGGACTAGAAAGGAAACAGTCTTATCCATTTTTGTCATACTTTCTGGTGTGGTTTCTTTCCTGATCCCTTGATTGTGCTGGAGAATCAGAGACTCGGGGGTCAGCAAACCACAGCCCAAGAGCCCAGTGTGGCCGACCTCACCCACAGCCCACATGAGAACAGGCAGCAGCCCACTGGCCATAGTTTGCTGACCTCTGGACTAAAGGAAAGCCCCTGGCAATCATCTGTGGTCTGGTCCAGGAAGCATAGGTGATCTCGTGCCATACCCATCCCTGGAAGTTTCCCTTGACTTCCAGGTTGTTATGTGACATCAGAGTAGGCCCTTATCGAGGGACTTCAAGTAGACGGTAAACTCTTTGTGGTCAGGACCCCTTTTCCTTTATGTCTTTGTATTTCTAGCACCTGGCTCAGGGCTTTTGTACTTAGGATATGCTTGTTGTTGGATTGAACTGAATTCTTCTTAGCATAGCTGAATTCAGATCTTGGCCCTGACATTTATTGACCCTGACTTCAAAGGTTTTTTTCCTGCCCCATCAAGAGGCTTCACACTGTGGAAAAGAAGTGTCTGCTCCTAGCTCTCGATTTCCATGAATTTTTTCTGGAGGCTTTTACCTAATGTGCGTACAAGCCACAGAAAATGAGACGTAGCCACTTTCTTTCTTTCATTAAAAATTTATATTTTTTTTCAAATTAAATTTATTTATATTTGCTCTTTGTTGTTTTTTAATTTTAAGTTCCAGTTTCTCTCTCTTCCACCTGCCTCTCTCTCCCCCACCCCTCAAGAAGGCAAGCAAAATGGCACCCATCGCTCAGGTGAAGTCAGCTTAGCTGCTTTCTAACCTATTTTCTTCCCATTTCTTACAGTCCCAGACAATTCAATTCATTAAGCCTCCTTATATAAGGCACCAAGGACAGAGAAAACAAAAAGGGGTGTCTTCCCTCAAAAAGTTTTGATTCTACTGAAGTCAGAGTGCAGCCTGCCAACAAAGATGTATCAAAATTTGAAGAAGATACTAGGGAACTAGGGGATTGGGAAAGGCTTCCTGTAGGAGGGGACCCAGGGGCTGAGCCGTAAAGAAAACAGGGTTCTAAAGAGTGGCAGTGAGGAAGAGAGTGCATCCCTCGCTTGGGAGTTAGTTAGCCTGTGTAAATGTGCATAGATGGGAGGTGGAGTCCTGAAATCCCCTCTTATCTCTAGTGTCTCCCCTCTCTTGATTATTTCCAGTTTATCCTGTATGTAGCTTATTTGTTCACAGATGTTTACATGTTGTCTCCCCCACTAGACTGTGAGCTCCCTGAGGGCAGGGACTGGCTTTTGCCTTTTTTTATATTCCCACTGCTTAGCCCAGTGCTTGGCACATAGTAGGTGCTTAATAAATGTTTATTGACTGACTGACTGAGCAGCAAGCTGACCAGTCTGGCTGGCACACACGGAGGAGAGTAATTAGTCAAGCATTGATTAGACTTGGCCTCCTGGTGTTTGATATAAACACACAATCCACCCTGTTGTTTTACTGGGTAAAGAAGAGAGTGAGAGGCTCAGGTCAGCTCCTATACTTTCATTTTAAGTACTGTATAGAAAGTGGAGAGTGTCCTCTGGGGAAATCTTGTGGGTGGATGTTCAGGGCTGAAGTTCAACTCTTTTTCCAAGTAGTAAACAACTTTCCATCTGTTATGCCTGGGAAAGGTGAACACCACTGGTTGGTCAGTTCATTAGACACCTTTGATGACTGAATGGGCTCCATCGATGGGTCCTAGATTGGTCCTTGAATTGAGGGATTTGGGGTTATCTGGCCATGTTCTACTGGGCATCTTCCGCTCTCCCTTAAAGGCGATCGTCATGGCTTTGCTATGGGAGGAAGCTTAAATCAAATTATATCCTTTCCTTCTTGGAAGGATTTTCAATGTCTGTGTGTAACGACTTCATTTATCTCCCTCTGCCAGAAGGGGGGCTGCATTTGGCTAAGGCGATCCCTGCCTGTGTGTCTCTGTTCTCACATTTTGTATGTTTTTTTTCCTTGACCCAACACCTAATGGAAACATCTTAGGAGCCTGGAGACGTGGGTTCTTTCTTGCCCACTGACTGACTTTGTAA